GTGACTATATTTTTCCATTCTATAGGTTGTCTTTTCATTTTGTTGACAAATTTTGTCATTGTTGTTGGTTTTTTTGGCTGTGCAAAACCTCTTTTAGTTTGATGTAGTTCCATTTGGTTTTTTGTTTGTTTGTTTGTTTTCCTTGCTTAGAGAGACATATCTGAAAAAATATTTCTAAGAGCAATGTCAAAATTTTTACTGCCTATGTTTTCTTCTAGGAGTGTGATGGTTTCAGCTCTTACATTTAAGTCTTTAATCCATTTTGAGTTTATTTTTGTATGTGGTGTAAAAGAATTGTCTAGTTTTATTTTTCTGCATGCATCTGTTCAGTTTTATCAATACCATTTATTGAAGAGACTGTATATTCTTCATATATTCTTTCCTCCTTTGTCATAAATTAGTTGACCATATAGGCATGCGTTTATTTCTGGGTTATCTATTCTATTTCATTGATCTGTGTGCCCTTTTTTATGCCAGTACCATGCTGTTTTGATTACCATAGCCTTATAGTATAGTTTGATAGTGTGATACTTTCAAGTTCTTTCCCAAGATTGCTTTGGCTATTTGAGGCCTTTGTGATTTCATATAAATTTTAGGATTATTTGGTTTTAGTTCTGTGAAAAATCCCATTGGTATTTTGATAGGGATTACGTTGAATTTGTAGATTGCTTTGAGCAGTATGGACATTTCAACAATGTTAATTCTTTCTACTCATGAAATAGAATAGCCTTCCATTTATTTGTATCTTCTGTAATTTTTTTTTTTTTAGTGTGTTACAGTTTTTAGAGTTCAAGTCTTTTACCTCCTTGGTTAAATTTATCCCTAAGTATTTTATTATTTTGGATTGGCTTTTATCACTTGCATAATTCCTGGGAGATTCACCCAAGTGGTTGTGCATCTCAAGTTTACTCTTTTCATTGCTGGGTAGTGTGGAATAATGTACTACAGTTTGTTTAATCATGACCTGAAGAACAGCTGACTGGTTTCAAGGTTTTGGCTGTTCTGAATAAAACTGCTGTGAACATTTGTGTACAGGTTTTCTTTGTTTTTTTTTATTTCTCAGGGGTAAATACTAAAGAGTGTAATTGAGGGGTTGTCTGATAAGTACATGTTTAGTTTTATAGGAAACTGCCATATGGTTTTATATTCCAAGCAGGAATATATGAATGATCTAGTTTCTCTGCATCTTCATCAACATTTGAAGGTGTCACTATTTATTTTAGTTATTCTGATAGATATGTAGTGCTGTCTCATTGTGGTTTTAATTTTAATTTGATGGCTCATGATGTTGAACATCATTTTCTTATTCTTATTTGTCATTTGTATATCATCTTTGGTGATCTTTTGCATAATTATTCCTCCATTTGTTTTTTTTTTTCCAGACTTGGGCTGAGGTGGGTTTGCTGGTAAAATATCTAGAAGTTTGTTAAAGTATACTTAGGTGGGAGGAGACAGATCTGCTACTGAAGTAGAAAATATTGATTACTATGGTCCTCAGCTCTGTGTTAGAGTCTCTGGGAATACAAAGATGAACAAGACAAGAACCTTAGTCTTGAAGTTCTAAAATTTTGTGACACTTTTGGAAATGGAAGCAGAAAATATCCAGAAGTCTATGATTTCCAAATTGCTTGATTTGAAGAGATGATATTTGCATGGGTATCATGAAGCTGTACACAAGTGCTAGGAAGAGCTTAGCAGACACAGGCCAAGCATTCAGATTCATTTAATATGAGTTAAGTAGGCAGAAGTATCTTTGCACATAAATGGCTTCCCAGAGCAAGGGACTGGGTGACACAACAGCACTCCCGAGAGAGGACGAGCACTCCAGCCTTTAAATCCCACAAAAGCACTCAGCTGCCAGAGAGAACAGTGGCAGGAGAGAGACTACTAACAGGTTCTTCCAGAAGCTTCTTCTGTCATTTCTCTCTTAGTTCTTGGGCCTCCTACCTCTTCCAGAGAAGGTAGATATGTATCTAATTGATCACCTGCTGTCAACCTCAGCACATGCCTGAGTGTCTAATGTGAGTCTGGGTGAAGGTCATTTTTTCCAGGAATTTCATCTTCCCTAGCAGAACTGAGTTTCAGGCAGCCTATTTCTATAGTTTTCTGCAGAAATTAGGAGCGAATTCAGTATTTACTTACAAATTGGACAATAATGGACTAAGAAGATAAATAGCTCAATAGAAAAGAGTTGGGGATAAATACACACACACACAAATCTAATTTATGATAAAGGTCAAATCAAGGAACATGTATAAAGCACCCATGGCCAAAGCCAAAGTGGGGAAGGATTGAGGGAGGGAGGTGGGGGTGGGTGGGGCAGGGGAAAGTGGTGGTGGAAAGGTGGAGACAAATGTATTTGAACAATAAAAAAAAGTAGAAAAATCAATTGGAAAGATGGACTAAGAAATCATCAGGGAAAAATTCCTACCTCACACCATACACAAAAACAAAATTTAAATGGATCAGTGCTCTAAAAGTAAATTTTAAAACGTGCATGTGTGTAGAATAAAGGAGTTTAACAGTTTTATAATTTTTCAGGAGGATGTGAGACATAGCGACATCCAGACAGGTAACTCAAAAGCTGCAAACAGAAAATGTACAGATTTAACTACATAAAAGTAAAAAAAAAACCTTTATTGTAAAATATGCAAGAAACAAAATTAAAAGAAAACTGAGTGAAAATGTTTTATACACATTCACACATATACATATCACATATTCTTGCACACCTCTGTTTTTCCCATGGTGATAGATATATAGATATATCCAATAATAAGTTATTATATCTGATATACAAAGAATTTATATAATACAATAAGAAAAATGCAAACTAAATATCAGAAAATAAGCAAAGCATAAGAACAGGCAAGTCACAGAAGAATATAAATTACCAGTAAACAGATGAATAGATGTTCACATTCACCAGTAATCAAGAAACTAGAAATTAAAACAATGACATTTAAAAATTCATCTATTAGGCAAAATTTTAAAACACAAATAACATTCAGTATTTACAGAATATGGGAAAGAGCATTCTTATACATTTTTGCTGGGAATACTCTTTGCTGAGGATAGGTTGGTACTATCAAAATTTAAAGTGCACATACCTTGTCGTGCGCAGTAATACCTCCTTCAGGAATCTGCACCATAGAAAAAAGAGGTGTAATAGAGAATATATGTGCTAAGATATTCATCACAGCATTAGTTGTAGTAGCAGAAAATTATAATCAACCTAAAATATCTAGAAATATAGAAATGTTAAAAAAAAAACTACAGCATAGCCATATAGTGGAATAAATTGAAACCATTAAAAGAAGGAGCAAAATCTATAGTAGTGCCATGGCAGCACATGGTAGGAGATCCAAAAGTAAAAAAAATCAAATCAAGAACGTATGTTTTTATAGCATAATTTAACTGAGGGTAGGTGGGTGGGTGGGTGATGTGTATATGTATGTGTATGTATTAGTAGATAAAGAAATTTTTTAAGTCTTGAAAAATACACTGCCTGCTAAAAATGGTTACATATCTGAGGTATAGAAGTGCTGGGTTGAGGGGATTTTTTGCTTGTCACTTTATGTACTTAGGCCGTGCTTGCAATTATTTTTTATCGCAAAGGTGTAATGTTTTGTAATGTTTTATAATTTTGAGAAAAGAAATAATAAATGCTAAACCATCCAATCATTGACCAAAAAGAAAGAATTTGGTTAAAAGAAATGCTTTAAAAGAGAGTATAGATACCTTTGCCTAATGCAAGTTCAAGTAAACAGAAACACCTCTTTCTTGCTACTGTATTAATTTTCTGTATCTGGAATATTTATTTCAATGATTTCTTTCTGGTTATTTAATTCATTGCGTTTAACTGATAGTGCTTATGGGAGTTTAGTGAAAACTATTTTGTAACTATCTCCGGTCGTGATTTATCTCCCGCAGTGAATTGACAGTGAGTGGGGAATTAGTAAAACAGATACAGATCTGGAGAGTCGTCTGTGGCTTTACTTATCTTCACAAGAATCCTTATTTCATATTGATAAAGTTTGAAATCTTTTCTATAGCTCTTTCCAATTGTTTATTGTTGTTGTTACTGTTGTAATGAGAGGTAGAAATGAACCAAACCAACCTGCTCCTTTCCGTCTTCTAGATTAATTTAAAAGGAAATTCTTTAATCCAAATAAATAAATGAATGTGGGTAGAATCAAATTCTGACTCAACATGTCCATTTAATTGCTCCTAAATGTTAAGATACATTCTTAAGAAACCTCACACATGATTAAAAAAAAAATCAACCAATAAGGAATGATTAGGTGAGACGTGGACTGACTATAACCATCTTTGCTCACAAAACCCTATTTTAGTTGACATTAATATTTGCCTTCTACTCTATTATTATAAATCAAGATTTGTTATAGAAACATACCAAAGACAGCACAATAATAAAACAGATTCGGCTCAGGTTTTGAAACGTACCTAACAAACCCAACCTCTTGCAAAATAACTTTCTTATTCAAAATGGAATTGGGAATTGTTCAGCACACAATGAATCATCTTTTGGCAAGTACAATAGAATCTTTAGGGACATTTCACAGCCTCTTGTTCAATTGTTAGGATGTTTTTAGCTTTCACAGGTAGGAAAGAAGGGAGCTCGTACAGCCATCATCTTGTTGCTAAAATTGAACAGTAAAGATTTTTCAGAGTTGCTGTTGTAATAGATCTCTTTGCCTTTTTTTTCTTCATGTTTCTTTACCCAGAACTGCTTTGTCTCTCAAAAACAATCTGGAATTACTTAATGCTAATGTTTTCTGGTTTTACTGTTTATCCGGGACTCAAATGGTAAACATTAATGTGGGAAACTCCCTTTTTTTTACCTTGTAGTTCTATATTTATTTAAATGCTATTCTGCAAGAAGAAAACTACGTCTTTCTCTTCCTGTGTTAGTGAACTTCTTCTTCTTTTTTATTGACAGTGTTTTGATTCTGTTTTCTTTTCTTTTTTTTTTTCAGGAGGCTTTAGAGGTACCCCTGGATGATTCTGAAGTGACTGAGGCTGCAGCAGCCACCAAAGTGATTAAATATGAGTATCATGTCTTATATTCCTGTAGCTACCGAGTGCCCGTGCTTTACTTTAGGGCAAGCTTTTTAGGTAAGACCATGTTGGAAGCTAAATGTAAATTCATAACATTTACATATTAAGGCAGAAAGCAGATTTGGGAAATTATTCTTAAGAGAAAAAAATAGAGTTAAAAATAAGAAAACTGTGGGTGAGGTAAGGTTTTACCAGTAAATTTTCTCATGCTTTCGAAAGAGTATTAAGACTTCAGAGTGAATGATATCATCCCAGCCATAAGTCTGATCTTCAGATTCTTGGCCTCCTGCCCAACGTTGACTAAGCCCCCTGGCCCTTTTTTCTTTACTTTAAACAAGTAGGAACAACTTAAAGCTACAATGTTTATTTATTTCTAACTTTATAGTAAAAATTCCTTTCAATCTCAAGTGATCCCATTAACACAAAGTCCCCATGCCTTTTCCCCTAAATGCTAATAATTACTTCAAGAACCATTTATCAATTAGTTTAAGCTATCCTTAAATATAGCACTAATATTTCCTTTGGCCATCTATACATCTCCAGAGCCTTTGCTTCCTGCAATGCTGTTACTCAACTCATTTCCCTTGCCAAGAAGGTGGAACACCCTGTCTCCTCTGAGGCCTCTGCTAATACAGCTTATTTAATCAGCAGCCACACAGAGTCCTCACCCTGCAGTGCAGCCATGACTTTCCCCTTCGTGCCCTCCAACGAAACAGGGTCAGCACTTTGAGGCCCTGTTGACCCTGCGCTCAGGGGCAAGAGGAGTCACCTTGGCAGCCCACCCCCTCCTCCAGTGTCTCTCCTTTTCTGTGGGGCCTTGTCCATAGCATTTTGCCTTTTGAACAGACTTTGAACTTTTTCTGGAGAGCTAAGACATCTGAATTTAGCCAGTGATATTTTATTTTTAATTAAAAAGTAGCTTAAGCTGCTTTGAATGTGTATTTGGTAGATTTAATCACTTGCTGCCTTATATTGTTTAATGGTCTCTAATTTTGCGGTGTTGGCGGTTTAACAAAGCACTTAGGATTTAAAACACAAGAACAAATTCTCATAGGCTCCCTGGTGAGAAGATTTTAATCTGAGGTGCAGTTCCTAGGAACTGACAATTTGGGGTAAATTTTCAACATGGGACATGGGGAATTGAAGACACTGAGAGTTCACTAATCACAAATTCTTGCTGCAGATTTATCCATATGATTATGACAGGACTTGAAAACACTTGTTTTTTTGCAATTCTATTTGGTTTGGAGCCCAGAGGTTAAAGGAGGTTTCTTGCCAGTGAGCTGTGTTATACTAAAAAGTAGAAGGAGGTACGTTATTTACCCGGGTGAGGAGGAAAATGCCTTTCTTGGTTTTGGTTTGCAATGGCTCTTATCTAGTACCTTCCAGATTCAAAGACATGTCAAGGCTGCAGGTAGAGGAAATAGGACACTACTTCTTCAATACTGTACTTTCATATAATTAGTATTCACCATAAGCAGTTAATCACCAGAGAAGAGCTCCCAGAGACAAAACAAGTTGTTTAGCTTGTCAGCATTAGGGAATTGGAGGTGTTGAAACATGACTGCTTCTCTCTGGGAGCGGGTCTTGCCGCGGCTGCTGGATGAGCTCATACGTGTGCTTTGCTCCTGCGTGCCAACAGCTCCCCTTACAGTGCAGCACGGTAATTGTTCCTGCAAGTCCAATTACATTTTAATGAAATTTGTATACTTCCTAAGATCTTTTCTTCATAATGGTTTTCTATTTCTTAAAAAAAAATTAGCTTCTTTGGATTCTATTTATATAATTTTTAAAGATTCCCTTTTTATATTTAACAAAGGAAAACCAAAACAAGTCATTGATTTTGTGTGGAAGCATCCCTTCTTCCCCCTCCCCATCCTGTGCTGTATAAAATGAGTATTGGAAATTTTTTAATTCCAGAATTCATTTAGTGCTTGTTCAGGCGCATTAAAATATCAAATTTTATCTTTGTAGAGCATACTGAATGTTTTCTTGTGGAGAAACATGAAAAACAATTCTTTCCTTTATCATATTCTAATAATTTTCTTTCACCTAACTTAATAGGTGTTCTAAAAATGTATCACTCTTTACTCTGGAGTCACAATTTTTCATTTCCCCCCCTCAATCCATTCCCTTTTCCTGCGATATCTGATTTCTCTGTTTTTTCATCTGTTTGTTAAACAAATCTCTGTCAGTGTGGTGAATGGATTCCTAACATCTTCCTATTATTCCAGGTCCAGATTTTTCTTTGTCTCATTCTAAGAGTTCGACCTAGAAAGGAGGATGACTATAAAATTTCTCGCCCAGGGGTCTTTTATTGTTGCTTCAAAAACAGTTCAGTTAGCCTTGTTTTTGACAGATATTTAGAATTTCTTTTGCATTTGATTGCTAGTAAAAATTAGTTTCTCTGACTTGCTCTGAATTTTCTTTCAATACCTCTTCTTTCTTTTTAGGAAAAGCAAGTAGTAAATATTCTCATTTAAATTTACATTACTTTAAAAAAAAACCAACTGGCTTCTATTCCAGGAGAAGTCTTTATACTGTTTCTTGAAATGCAAATCCATTGTACTGTAATTATTCCTTACTCCTTTATATCGGTGTGTCCACCGGGCTAACTATTGCCCAACACTCTGCCTACATGCCACTTGCTTCTGTCACTCCCATGTCATTTTGTATCGTATATCATATCACACATATCATATCATATATCATATCACAAGTTGCACTGTAACAGAATTAATTATTTGTTTACTTGTTCCCTATGAAATTATAAGCTAGAAGTTACGGCTTTAAGTTAAAAAAAGAGAAGAAGGAAATTAATATGAGTACCTGCAACCTCCAAAGTGATCAGCTTTATTCATGGCTATATGGGTGTACTATTTGTCTTACACATTTTAATGTCCACAGTATCAACTGTGGTATAGTATCAACAGGTATTTATCCAATGAACCAATGAGGAATTTCTAATGCTTTCTGATCCCGCACAGCCCCCACAGGGAAACACTGTGATGGTGCCCTATTTTGAACTGCTCTGGTAGGTTATACGGGAGGAAGTAATGCTGTGGTCTCCAGGAGACGCAGAACCCAGACCATCTAAATATCTTTACCCTTCAGTCAGATGCTTCTCAGAAACTGGAGGAGTAGTTGACTGAGGAGAAGAGAATCCTGAAGACTCAAAGGTGGGCATCTAAACAAACAGAGCAGCTGCCCTACTTATATAAACACAATTTTATTTGATCTTTCAAGGCAGACAGCCTTCTGAGTGCCTCTCATTTCTATTACTTGAGCTTGCAGGAGCTCAGTTTCCTAGGGGGTACCATGGATTTAAGAGAAGACATGCATCCTTTCTGTTGTTCTCCCGCCCCCCAACTATTCCTGCCATTGTAGGTTTGGGAGAGGTTGTGGGACATGGTTCATACCATCTGCTACCCAGCAGTAGATGAGAGGCCATTGCACTTCTGTCAAGTAATAATAAATAGCCTATATTTGAATTGAATAGTGCTTTGTAGTTTATGAAGTCCATTCTCACAAAGCATTGATGTCAAGTGCCCACTGTACTTTTTTCTCTCCTATTTTTGAAATGCACTGTGTTAAAGAATTATTTGTATCATGCCAGAGGCTTCTATCTACTCCCCACCATTCTCTCACCTTTTTAAGTCCCATCTTCCCCTTTAGGGACTTGGCTTTGGTCAAAAGCTAGTGGAAAACAAAAATGCGGTAAAAATCTCAGGCGTATACACAGTGTCTTTGGCCTCACCACAGCCCTAAGCTTATATATTTTCTCCTTTCACTGATATAACTAGAGATTTCTATATTTCAGCTTGAATTTTGATTTATTTCTTCTCTGTTCCTCTCCCTTTGTTCTCGATCTCTATTGAAAAATAGACCAAGTGGTTCTTCTCATTTTCAAAATATTTAATTCTTTGGCTGACATATGGGTTCTTCTTGGGAACCGTTTTGACATATTTCTTTAATTAGTTAGATGGGCTGCTTTTGAATAAGGAAGGAAGCATTTCTTCCATTCAGCAACTGAATGTCTGTTCTTTCTGTAGATCCATTCTATTATTGGCCCAGAGAGTAAGGGTACAGAATTAAAAAATGTAACCCAGATATTTTACGTGGAAGATTTGTCCACTTGTTATATGTCTGAAGGCTGCTCATGGAGAAATAGGGCAAAAGAAATAGCCAAGGAATAATTTCTTTTCAAAGGCAGCATGAAGCAAACCAAGACAAAGGCCAGCACAAAGGAGAAATAATAGAAAGTTTGGGGCTAGAACAGTGTATGAATCATCAAGGAGGAGGAGAAAGAGATTTATCCATGCCCTGGAACAAGAGGAAGCCTTTGGAGTACAAAGGAGAGAAAGACAGGAACACAGGAATGATGGGGGTTGGAGGAAGTTAGAGAATAAAAGTAAAATATCCATAGCTCAGTCCAACAACCTACAAGGGAAGGTAACAGGTTGGCTTTTTGGAAGAGGCTGGGAAAAGCACTGGAGAAGGGGAGAAAGGCAAGTGCTCAGCAGTAGGCTGGAGAGAACATGGTGGATTTAGGGAACATAGAGAGGCCTGTTTGGAGTTTTCTTAAAATGAATTGTGGAAGAACTGGTTGAAAAGATATTTGAGATCAAATTATGAAAGAGACCATGGATGGGGAGGGATTGGAAAATAAAAAGAAAAAGTGAAAGGGATTGAGCGGAGGCGAATGGGGCTAGAGAAGGGATTTCCTAGAGCAGAAAGTATGACTGAACAAAACAGAGGAATTAATCAAGGATGGGAAGAAATTACGAAGAATGAAACTTAAGTAAAAGGAACTTGGTTCTTTTTGTATTATTGTTATCATTGCTAATTTTTAAAAAATAACCTCAGAGAAAAGGAGCTGGAAAGAACACATTTTTCAGGAAGAATTATTATTGCCAGTAGAATGAGAGTTAAAGCAGCTTGTTGAACAAGGAAAAAAAGAGAGGTAGTTAAAGACTGAGGCAAAAATGATCTAGTTAATTATTACATTGAGCAGAAAATATAAAATGACTTGACAGATTATTTCATTTAGAACCTTA